ATATCTCCGATTTAATCGTAACATTGGGCTGAATTATACTAGATATCCAGCAGTACTTGAAGGATACTGTGATGCAAATTGGATATCGAATACTAGAGACTCAAAGTCCACTAGTGGGTATGTCTTTACTCTTGGTAGGGCGGCTGTATCTTGGAAATCTTCCAAACAGACTTGCATTGTTGAGTCTACTATGGAATCAGAATTCATAGCTTTAGACAAAGCAGGGGAAAAGGTAGAATGGCTTCGCCATTTCCTTGAAGATATTCCAATATGGGCAAAACCGGTACCTACTATATGCATACATTGCGATAGTCAATCAACAATAGGTAGAGCATAGAGTCATATGTATAACGGTAAGTCTAGACACATTCGTCGTCGACATAATACCGTAAGACAACTACTCTCTAATAGAATTATTTTCATTGAATATGTGAAGTCTAAAGACAACATAGCGGATCCACTAACCAAAGGGTTAGCAAGAGAGTTAGTTGAGAATTCATCGAGGGGAATGGGACTTAAGCCTATTAAATAAGAGTTACCACAACGGCAACCTAACCTAGTTGACTGGAGATCCCAAGATCTAGGTTCAAAGGGACAACCGAGTTATGTATGACTCAGAAGGATCACTGGGGAGTTTAACTCTTACCCATTTATTTGATGAAATAGTGATGTCTGCAGCGTTTTAGGTTAAATAAAACTTTTAATGATTCTTATATCTAGGTATACCTAGTGGAGTATGGCAGGATACTCTTCATAAGAATCACCTATATGAGTGTGAACTGGGCCAGTTCTATGAGATTTGTGAAGGGCTACAATTTTCTAGAGCACTCATGAAAGATCAGGTTGTTCAGGGCCAAAATGAACACAATAGTGAGAACTAAACTGTATCTGGGGATATACTGTGTGAGTTCTATTGTCTTGGTTTATACAAACGGCTGAACAGTTCAAGACATCATGTTCACTGGTTAGCTAGTAAATCCGATAGTGTCTCACAAGGGAAGGTTCAAAGCCAAAAGCTACCTATCCTTTGCAGAATATTTTCAATTTCTGTACTCTCTGTAATTAGATTATGTTGTTGCATTTTCTCTCCGTCAAATTCCATTCATGTGGGGGATTGTTGGAAAAATTAGTTTATTAGGCTTATTTTGGGCCGACTTTGAGCCCAAAATTGAGTGGGCCGCAAACGTCTTTTGGGGTGGGTCCGAATAGGTGAAGTGTTCCTTGCCACATGGCAAGTCATACGGTGAAGACGGTTTGTCAAAACCATTTATGAGTGAATGGGAACATGACGTCGTTTTCGGGTTCGTGGAAATGAACATTTAAAGTTTTAATGTGGGTTTCCTTGTGAGGCTTGTCCCACATTGAAATTTTAAGAGAGTTTTGTTGAGTTTATAAGCTCTAGCCTACAACACTTGGGTTGGGCCCCAAGGGACACCCCAAGTTTGTAGAAGTGAGGAGTTATGGACAAAGTGAACCTTAGCCCAAACCACCACGCGTGCGCGCGCGTCGCTGCCGGCGCCGTCGCCGTCGTTCGTCTGGCCGAGCCCAGCCGTGCTGGACGCGAATGTGGGTGTGGGTCGGGTCGGTTCTTGTATTAATTTTTTGGACAAAATTCATCTGAATCTTTTCCAAATTTATTGCAGGAAATTATTGGTATTTCAAATTCAAATTTATTGTCCAAATAATTGTGCCTCTAAGTTTCATTTGTCCCAAACTGTTAAACAGGTTTTAAACTGTCCAACAGATTCAAAATTGTCTCAAACAGTTTTCTTCAAAGATTCGGACATATTTTGTTCTTTAAACAGATTTAAATCTGCCCGGCAGATTTGGACAGATCCAAAACAAAGTTTAATAGGTTCAAATGGTTCTAGACAGATTGGATAACTGCTCAGCAGTTTTAGACAGTTTTAAAACTGCCAACAGGTAATAAAACTGTTGCAAATCTGTTTATTTGAATTTGGCACCTGTTGACCACTTTTTATACCTGTTCAGGCTGTCCAAACAGTCATAAAGTTGCCTATATATATTAATCCATTTCCAGCAGTCCGGATATAAAAAAATAGTCTAAAATTATTGTCTCATTGTTGTCCAGAATTTTCTACTTTTGCATTATTCTTCATATTAGATTTAGAATAAATTAAAGAGAGTATAAGAACACAAGGTTCTAGTTCGCTGTACAAATTTGTGTGGAGTGCAACTACAAGTTTGTGAAGATCATTGTATCCTGCGAGATAGACGCTACTCAACCGTAAGCACCGTAGCGGGGCAACTCTGTCTTAAGGACAGAGTGTCACACACTCAACTTGGTCTTTTAATTTTTATTTGGTTCAACAAAATAAATTCTGTAAGTTTTATTTTATGTTGTTTGGCTTTGTTTCAATTTATTTTATTTACACAGAAGATTATTCCAACACGCGACACCCCCACCACTTCTCTCTTGTTATTGCTGCTTTCTTCTTCTTCTAAAATTAGAAAAAGATGGAAAAGAATAATAGGAAAGAAGGTGAATTCGCGACGGCGAAGGTAACGGACACGATGTGAAAAATGTGGTAGCGGCAAAGGAGGAAGAAAAGGTGGCGACGAGAGAAGATAAAGGACTGTAGGTGAGGAGGTCGGGAGTGGTGGCGGGAGGTGGCGAGTAGTTAAGGAAGGGGCATTGGTGTTGCCGGTGGAAGCGAAGGTGATTGCGAGAACTGAGAAGGGTAGGGTTAGGATTAAGACTTTAAGTGGAGTGTATTTTGGTGATTTAATTTAATGACATAATGTGTGTGTGTGTGTGTGTGTGTGTGTGTGTGTGTTTTTGGAATGGGATGAGTGGGTGCTCAACCAATATTGTGGAGTGCATTTTCTCACTTTTAATTGTATACATTACGTAGATACCACTTTTAACCGTAACACATGGGTTAATTTTATTGCATATACCTCTTAAAAGGTATCATATATGAATTATGTATTATTATATTATGATATTAATTATAATTCAAAATAATATTTTTATTAAGAGACAACGTTGTAGAGTTAGTTTTTGGGATAAACTATATGAAAATGATAAATGGGAAAACTAACACATGGGTTAATTTTATTGCATATACCTCTTAAAAGGTATCATATATGAATTATGTATTATTATATTATGATATTAATTATAATTCAAAATAATATTTTTATTAAGAGACAACGTTGTAGAGTTAGTTTTTGGGATAAACTATATGAAATGATAAATGGGAAAACTTATTACCAGTGAATTGGAACCTTTTCAAATTTACACCATAATCTGAAGACTTTTTTCTTTGTTTTTTTTTTTTTTAACAAATCGAGGACACTAGGACAAAAATGTCCTTCATGTGCTCTCCTCCGCACTGTTGCCTTTTTCTTCGCTCTATCTTATTACCTCAACTTACCCACTCATTTTCCACTCACCTTTGTTGTCTCCAAACCATTCAACACCAACCCAACACCCTAGTCGATCTAAATTGTAGCCACCCAAAACCACTCAATCCCCTCCACCCCTTCGGGTCACCACCTTGCCTCCTCATCGAAAATACACAATCTAGACTTCTACATTATATACATTGAACTAGAATTTTAGATTTAAGTGAATCTTAAATTTACCCAAATTTTAAAATTAAATTAAAGATGCAAACATAATTTTAAAAAGAGTAATTCTAAGGATACCAAAGATTTTATCAAAAAATCTACCAAATACTTTCATGGATGTGAGCACACCTATGTTGATGTTTAGTAAAAATTTAATAAAACATTTAAGAACTAACATTTTTATTTTAAAATTAATCAAACGCCACTTCAAATGGTAAGTAAGACTTTGATCATCCCATCATTTCAAAATATAACCCACGCTAATATATACCATAAGCATACTCATTAAATTAGTTAAAATTTTATTATATTTTGGCTTAAATGTTCCTTTTTCTATTTTAGCTATAAATATTTTAAATATAATCTCTAACAAACTCTTTATCATTTTGACATGCTATTTAAACATTATTTTTATTAATTTGAATTTAAAATTATTATTTTTATAACTCTACACAACTAATTTCAAAATATCATGTTGGTTTTGATTTATTTTTTGAAAATTAATTTTTATATTTTTTGTTTTTTGTTTTTTTTAGTGATTTCTTGTAATATTTTAAGTAAATTTTATACTTTCTAGATACACATAACTTAGATGTACTTGGAAAGTAAAATATTTATGAAAAAATATTTTAAAAATTTAATAAATACACAAGAATAGAAAAATGTAATGATTTTTTATATTTTTTTATATTTGATGAATTTCTTACAGATTTTTTTCATAAATATTATATCTAGATTAGATGCATTTAAAAAATAAAAAAATCTTAAAATTTTAAAATTTTTGACTAAAAACAAAAAATTCAATTTTCTAAACCAAACAAAGCTACATTTGTTAAGTCAAATTCATCAAAACTAAAATAACTAACTTAATAACTAATTTTAAAAAATTAAAATTTAATAATTTACTCACTATTTTAACTTAAAATTAAAAATAACTACCAAGATAGTCCACCCAATGTTAGTTATTTTAAAAACAAAAATGATTTAGAGCTCTAAAGTTATCACTAGTATGTTGGCAGTGGGATCCATCATTTCTGATGTGATAGATGTGTCTTGTGTTTTTTTTTTCTTCTTCTTCCATGCTAGTTCATTAGAGCTGTTGGGTTAGAGCTATCAATAAGTGCACTTTTAAAAAGTAGGTTAGAAGTTAATTTTTTAATATTTTAAAAAAAGTATATATTAAAAAATAAAAGATATTTTAAAAAGTAAAAAAAAATTAAAAATTGACTTATAAAGTTTAAAGCTTAAGCAAAAGGTGTAAATTAGAGAGAGAGAGAGAGAGAGAGAGAGAGAGAGAGAGATCTGGGGTTTTTTGAAATTGAGAACATTCTCAGTTTATAATATTCTCAATTTTAATCATGAAAAAATTGAGAAATTTCTCAAAATTGATAATTATAAATTTCTTAGTTTCTCTCTCTCTCTCTCTCTATATATATATATATATATCTGCAAGTACAGCAGCACATCTAAAAGTTTGTGTGATTTCGTCCTTCCATTCATTGAGGTACGCCATTGGCTCATGCAAACACCCTTCTCTTCCATAGATATATATGTGCTATTTTTCCAAATTTATATTTAATTGGTTGGTCTATAATTGATTTCTTTCTGGGTTATTATTGGTAATTTAGCATAATTTAAGACGAAGTTGCTCTCGAACTTATCATCGAATTGTATTCAAGTAATGGCATGCCAATTATAATCACACACACACTCGATTCTGGTAATTTGTTGGAATTGGCATCTTCATTAATTTTAAAAATAATCTTAATAATTTTATAAGCTTCAAAGTTCCACCATCTCTCCTAAGACCAACAAAGTCCAACAAATATATTTTCTGGGGAGCAATCCATTTGATACCTTTTGAAAAGGCGGACACATTGATGGCTAGATGGGTTAATAGACTGAACTTTGATTGCAATGGGTGAATTGACAGGAATAACCACTGCACGAAGAGTAATCAAATAGCTATAGTGCATGTGGTTTTTATAATATTTTAAAAAAATACAATCAGAAGTTTTTCACATATCAATTTGTATGCATAAGAAAAAGAAGTCTTCTTCTCTAAATAAACTGAAAAACAACTAGGTATCTCTGTTTGTGTTAGACAAAAACAAATACTTGTCTTTTTTTTTTTAACAACTAATGTCGTGTAGTGATTTAGAAATCCACTTGTCCGTTTGAGTACACATCGGAGGGCTTAGGGCGCAAGATTTTGGATTTTTTCTATGAAAATTAAAACAAGGCTCTGTTCAAGTGGGCTTAGAGTCCTTGATTCTGTTGGAGATAAGATTATATTGTCAAAGATATCAGAAGATATGAAAAATATTATAATATATGGAGATCGCATGATTTGTATTTATTATGATTTTTTTTTTTATCTTTGGCATATTTCAATTCCTTAATTGAAAGGATTTGATTATATCTCCCACTCTATATATATTGTGTGTCATGTAAACAAGAGTATGAAGTTATAGGGCTTTGTGTATGTGGATGTAGGCCAATATTAGCTGAACCACGTTAAACCTTTGGGTTATTTCTTTTCTCTTTTCTATTTTCTCTCCATATTCAACCTTATTCCCTTATTACAAAATTCAGCTGACTCTAGCGGCACCTTGCTTGTACAGGCTTGAGCCGGGCATGCGCTGGTCTTGCCCAAATAGCTCTATTTCGAATTGTTTTCAACTACAAAGTGCATAGGACTAAGTATGGGTCATCCTAGGTCAAATTGTGACATAAAATGCTTGTATCCTATACTAATGTAGTATGCTCATGCAGCGCTACACATGAGATTAAATTTCAAACACTCTTTGCATTGTCTTTAAAGATATTCATTCTTGAACACTTGGCCATTCAGACCTAGACATGTAACACATGTTTTGTCCATGGAAATTGCCAATACACAAAATCTTAACACCTTCATTTTAGTTTCACGTCATTACTGAAATTAGCAGTCATTTGATGCAGAGGAAAAGAAAATCCCTATGGAGAAACAATCATTAGATTTGTTTTTCCACTGTGGTAATATAGGTATCTTGCTTATTCAAATTCAAAATCTTTTCAATATTAAAGTGATTTACTTTACTTTTTCTACTAAACGACGTAAGTATGTCCTTGTATAAGAATTATTGTATAACATGTGCCAAAATCAAGTTATTTTATAATCTTTCATATGTATGATTGTTTAACATTATTTTTTATAGTTTGTACTGATTCTTACGATTCCTAATTCTATTCATGATTCACAAAATTAGAATTTTGATTTGCAATACAAATGTTGATTTACTATGTTTGTTGCAACATACATACACAACCCAAAACAGATGGAACATGTTGGTGTGGGAAAGAGAATGCACCAGAACTAAACGCAGGCTTGTTTGTACATTTCTTGCTTGAACTGTAGGTTTTGGATCATGCCAGTCGATGTAGGCCAGGATTGATAAACATGTAGAGCATTTAGAATGAAAACAGGCCGGTCATAAAAACTTTACTCAACTCGTGTTGTGCACTCATCATATTCCTGTTTAATATCGCAATAGTAATGATTCACGCAGCTTTATCCAAATCTTCAGCACATTTATTTGCCAAATTCAATTGTAACCGGGACGCATTAATGATTTTAAGCAGCAGGTTTAAAAGTTTGAAGCTTCACATCATAACTTAAGGTCATAGTATGCAAAGCAAAATGTCATTGTGGTTATTCTTTCCATCGGTTTTTGTCTTTTCTTTCTGTGTTTATATTCATGTTAAATCTTTTACTTCTTACTTATTGATAAATAAACAAACAAAGAAAATAAAATATTTGCCTCTCATCTACCATTTAATTTCCCCTGCTCTTCTCCCACTTGATTGCTGATATTAATATCTTTCAAATTTGTCCCATACTCTGGTGCTGATATTCTTGAAGGCTGTTTTGTCTGCTTTAAATTTTGTTATTATTTACCAACTTGAAGCTCACCTTTCCTGGAATTTGCTTAAAATTAGTGTTGCTACTTTGTAAAACCAAATTGGATGTTGTCTGCATACCACTTTAAAACAAACTTGTCGGCAAGTTTCTTTCTTGAAAAAACCTAATCCATAAAAATCAACTTGTATATTCATTTCTTTAATTTTTGGTCCTTTTTAGAAACCTAAGAAAGTGATCTACACATCCATTTCCTTGTGGCCTGCTGTCTCCCTTGCAATTGAAGTATTGTGAGATGGTTGTGATTCAGCAAATTTGCTAGATACATGTGATGGTATTGCTTGCAGCTAACCAAGAAGAAGACATATGATGGTCTCTGCTGCTGTTATTGGACTCAGTGCAGGAAAGAGGCTATTGAGTTCCTCCTATTATTCTGATATCACAGAAAAGCTGTCATGTGGTTACGATTATGGATCAACATACCATCAGGCTGCTTCAACAAAGAATGTTATCACAGCAAATAAGTCCTCCAATAATAGCACTAGTTTTTTGTCCAACCAACACACACGGTCCTTAAAAGCTCAAAAAGAACATGTGAATACTGCTTCTGAACCTTCAACTGCTGAGGTGTGGCTTCAAAGATTGAACCACTTGGAGGAGGACAGATCTCATTCGGAATTTTCAGTGGAGGCTCTTCTCTTGTTACAGAAGTCAATGCTGGAAAAGCAATGGAATCTTTCAACTGAGACAGTAATAACCGATGGAAAAAGAGAAAATACCCACAAGAAGATGCAGGTCACTGGTTCAGGGACATCCGCTCGCAGGCGGAGAATAGATGCTAGGAGGAAAGTTCTGAGGCAAAACAGTTCCATGATTCAACTTAGTACAAGTAAGCAGCTGAAATGCATTATCAGGCCAGAGCTGCTTCAGAACCGTTTGAAAGGATATGTGAAGGGAGTAGCAAGCGAGGAATTGCTCACCCATTCAGAAGTAGTGCAATTATCTAAAATAATAAAAACTGGCCTTTACTTAGAGGAGCAGAAATCGAGGTAATTCATCATTTTTCTTTGTTATTTATTTATTTATTTATTTTTGAGTGAATGAACCGCTTTGATTCAGTTACTTGTTTTGTTACTACCCTCACCATGAATGACACTGTTTTCCACGGTGAGATGTTTGTTCATTAAAGATAAGTGGAACATCAGAAATCTTGTTTCTGTCTTGTTTACTTATTCATTCATCATTTGCGAAAGTAACACATTTTTCATGTATTATGGTCCTCATGGTCACTGTTTAAGCCTTGTGGCATTTAATAACTGCTTTTTGTCTTGCTTTCCTTGTAGTATAAGATTTACAAGCTATTTGATTTTAGATATAAATAATTCCCTTCTTATCTTATCATTTACATGTCCATAGTTGTTCTTCTAAATGCATGGAGAAGTTTTCTGGTTAAGGCCCTGTTTGGTGGTGCGTGCTTTTTGATGATATGTTTTCAATTAAGAGTCTTAGCAGAGAAAAGCTCGATATAAACTAGTTTAGTATTATTTTATCACTGCATCTTGACCTTTCACTTCTTGTTTTTTTGCCAAAGCACCTCAATTACTACTTTACCGTACAATGCTTTTTGGTGATGTACCTATAAAACTCAAGTGCTTCAAAGATACAACCAAATCACCATGAAGCACTTTAAGAACTGCAAAAGCTCTTTCAAGCTGAATGCACCATTGCATCAAATGGGGCCAAAGAAATTTACCATGCCTGTGTGATACAAACCACTTGGGTAGAAGGGTAGAACTCACCCTTGAAAATCGACTTGCAAGGGGAGGGTTCCCAAGAGTTTTATGTTCACATGCCCAAGCTCACTGTTAACTGATGTGGTATCATAACATACCACCACGCTCCACCGCTGATATCCACGGCAGCCCCCTCTATCAATAATGACCCAGCTATTGCCATTTTCCTTTTGGCAGCTACATTCACCTATTAGTATTTAAGGGTGGGAATCTTCAACATGAACCGTACACGAAGTATGTTGGTTAAGGTTGACCATTTTTGACACGAACATGAATATGACACAACCTGGCAACATGAATATTAAGTGTCAAGTTAGTGTCGAACTTGCATAACGTGAAGTTGACATGGATGATCCATTTAATGAAGAATTACTTACACATTTTAATGATATTTCTACTAAGAGGTATCATGGCATTTTTGAATCCTTATGTAACTCCATCCAATTGAGTAAAAAAAGCACGTAAAATAGGATTTTAAGGCTAATATAGTTTTTCTTATTTTTCATTTATGAATGTGTACTTTTTTTAATATATTTTAGAGTCAATTTAGTAAAAAAAATATAATAATATATAGTTTTTGTAAATGGGAAAATGACATTGAGTTGAAGTCAAACATCTTTGTGAATAATTTCATTCAGTAGCGATTAGTTTCATTAAATTTAATTTATGGGGATAAAATTAATTTTTCCATACACTGGTGTTTTTCATTGAGGGTGAAAATTTTCAACATGACACGTTAACACAGCATGAACCGAACACAAATTGTAAGTAAATGACATGACACAATAACACCAAAAAATAAATTGGTTGGGTTAGTGTTGAGTTAATTCTAACACGAACCCAAAATGACATGACACAAATATGACCAACACGACACTATGCCCACCCTTATCAGTATTCGACACCTTAATAAGTATCTTAATCCATCCTAAAGGTCACTGCCTCTGCTGCTCGAATCGCAAAGTCACAGCCCATCTAATTCCATACTCGTATAAGTTGGGTCTGATTCAATACTCGATGTGGTGGGTGGCTCTGATATACCAATGTAAGGGAACTTAAGGAAACCTAATCTAAGGATGCCTGCAATTAGAATTGTAGTGGGTTTTGGTTATGGAAAGCTTCTAGGGTTAGGATTATAAGAGAGAAGAAAGTTTCTAGGGTTTAGAGATGAAAAGATGTGAGATTTGGTTTGATTTTTGAAAATGACAGCTTGCTGGATTTTCAGAATAGAGGTTATTTAAGGGCCTAAACAGTGAGTTTATGGTTTTAATGGCTAAATTGAAGGCCAATAGGTAGCAGAGAGATTAGGGTTGATTTGGGCGTGATGGATAGGGTTTGGGGCTAAAAAGTGCACTTTTTGAAGATTGTGAATAGTAATCCGAGAATAGTCTTGGGTTGTTCGCGCAAAGAAAGAGAAAGAAAAGAAGAAAGACAAGGAAAAGATGAGAGAGAAAGAGGTTCTTCACCCTTTTAAGGGTTAGGTAAATTCATGCAAACTCAATCCCAAATTCTCATAATTCAAATCTCTATTGAAAATAAAGATTTCATGCATATTCATAAGTTGTTAGACTTTTCTTATTCCTATAAGGACTTTGACAATGATTCCATAACTAAAAGGACAAACGGTGGAAACTACCACGTTGGAGTACAGTAGGGGCCGAGGGAATTTCTGGTGGTTAGAAACTTTGATCAACTAAAATACTTTAGACCTGATAAGGACTTTATAAAAGACCCAATAACCAATGCTTTTAAAACCGGTTCGGCGGTTCGACCGGTTGACCAGTCTAGGTTCCAGCCCGGATACACCCATAAACCCTTTCCAGTTCGAAACCGACCTTTTTCCATTAAACTAGCAAAACCCATGGTTGAACTGGTCAACCGGAAGAACCGGTGCCAGTTCAAGGGAACCGGCCGGGCTTGACAAGTCTTCTACAAGCATGGTCAGGCGCTGAAAAAAAAAAAAAAAAACTTACAAGGTTCGAACTCAAGACCTCAAGTATGAGGTTGTTGCTTCTTTCCGCTCAATCAACAATCTCCTTGTTAAATAATAGTAGAAATATTTTATTTATTGTATTCCATTCATTTTCTTCCATATATTACTATAATTAACATTTTTACAAACAATATCAATATAAAAATAAATGTTTAAACTTATATATTTGGCAAACATATTAATATAAATATATAATTTACTTTTAATATTTATATTTATTTAACTATAATTTTTAATATATTTATTAAGTAATCATAATTATGACATCTCGGTTTAATTCGGTTCGATCCAACAGTTGAACTAGTGACCCATCCACCTGATCCCTTTTCTGGTTCGCTCACCGGTCCGGTTTTTAAAACATTGCCAATAACATGCTTTGACTCATAAAAAGACCCATGGGCGACCCTTACAGGCCATGTCCACCAAATAACAAAACTACCAAAATATCCTTAACTACTAAAACCTTTTACATAATGATATTAAATTAATCCAACAGCATATTAAATTAAAAATAAACATAAATAAAGACAAAAAATTCCAAAACATCACTCACTGATGCCTATGGCTCTTTTTATGGGTCAGAGCATGTTATTGAGTCTTTAATAGGTCTAGAATATTCTAGTTCGTCAAAGTTTCTTAACTTCTAGTTATGGAACCATAGTCCCTATAAGACTAGAAAAAATCCAGTAGCTTATAAACATGCATCATGCATGTAATCTTTCTTTTCAATTGAGATTTGAGATATGAAAATTTGAGATTGTGTTTATGTGAATTTACCTAACCCTTGCGAGGGTAAAACTTTATTTCTTTCCCTCTCTTTTTCTTCTCCTATATCACGCCCAAATCAACCTTAACCCCTTGTTCTACATGTGGTGTTCAATTTAACCATTAAACCCCTAACTTACTCATTGTTTAAGACCCTTATATAGTGTCTGGTCTGAAAATCCAGCAAGCTGCTACTTTTGAAAATCAAACCAAATCTCACACCTTTTCATCTCCAAACCCTAGAAAATTTCTTCTCTCTTATAACCTTAACTCTAGAAGATTTCCACAACCAAAACCCACCACAACTCTAATTGTAGGCAACCTAAGGCCAGGTTTCCTAAAGTTGTCCTATATCACCATGCCAACAGAGAAATGGATAGATGAAAAAGATGTTGAGTGATTTTTCTTCTTGGATGGCTAGGATTTATTTTTCTTGGCTATTCAAACTTCCAAGAAAGGATATTTGCAATAGGTGGAAGGCTTGGGTTGGGACCACTTATTTCTCATCCTTTTCATTCATTTTTGTTAGTCGTCCACACTTTTCAAGTGTGAATGTCAAACCATATATCTATACATCTTGATCTATGCCAGATTATATACATGTAATAACTTTTTGTTCTTGTTTGCATGATTTCTGCTTGGGAATTGCAGACTGAAGGAAAGATTAGGATGCGAGCCTTCGGAGGAGCAACTTGCTACTTCCTTGAGGATTTCTCGTGCTGAGTTACAATTGAAATTGATAGAGTTTTCTTTGGCAAGAGAAAATTTGGCAATGAACAATGTTCGTCTGGTCATGTCTATTGCACAAAGATACAACAACATGGGTGTAGAAATGGCTGACCTTATTCAGGTGATTGTCTTTTTGTTAGCTTCAAGTTTGAGATGCTAATGTATATAACTTGTTCTAATCTACTTGATATGGAGCTGTAAATTCCTATCTTGTGAGTAATTTCCTTTGTCTCATGCAGGGTGGCCTGATTGGACTACTCCGGGGGATTGAGAAATTTGATTCTTCCAAGGGGTTCAAAATTTCAACTTATGTGTACTGGTGGATACGCCAGGTGAGTTTGACACTATCTTTTTTTTTCTTCTGAAATGTAAACAATTTAGGACATGGTGAAGTGATAGCTGCCATCATCACTACTAACTTTTACATTCTTTTAAGATTGTCATTGCATGAGATGGTTATCTTCTTATATAAGGCAAAGTTGTAAGTTATTATAGAACATATGACAAATTGGTCTTTGACATCCAAAAGAACTAAGAGCATAAACATCGAAGTCTGAACATGCAATAATCATTTCAATTGTGATCATGAAGCAGACCTGACCAAAGTTCATGCACCGTGAAAGTTATTTGATGTGTGACCCACGATTCAATGACATGGCACTTAGGTTTATTATGGTAGCTTCAGTCATGGGGGCACAGTTTTGTTGCGGTTTCAATGTTATAATCGATGTGTGGCTCATGTGTTTTTACCATTTGCACTCTCCACATTTTTTATTGCTACAAACTTGACAATCCAACTTAATGGAGATGCATGAGTGCCACTTGTCTTCAGCCACATGTCCTCCAATATTTTGCTTGTCTCTCTTCCTTTCATGGATGCAAAATCAGTCAAGATTTAGATTGTAGAAGCTCTAGTGTGGTCAAGATAACTCTCTCTCTCTCTCTCTCTCTCTCTTTATATATATATACATAATCATCCTCTCTTTCCAATTTTTATTTTAGAATTGAGTGACCTCTACTGCCCAAACCTTTTCTTCTTTGATCTTCCTCCTGCAACCAGGCCTTCTCCTGAGCCATCGCTGTTGTTAGATTTTAGATAGCTTGACATACATTGTTGGGCCCATTTCCATTAGCATATGTTTGGTTGGGGGATTTAAGAAGGGATTTGGAAAGGGAATTAAAAAATAAAAGAGAAAATGTGTGTGAAACTAGGTGAAATATAAGTACATTTTATTCACATTTCATCTACTTTTTTCCTTTTTCCGAATCCCTTCCCAAATCTACCAACCAAACGCAGCGTTAGGCTTTTGGAAAAATTGGTAACTTAACATGGTACGAGAGCTCAGGTCGAGAGAGGTCTTGGATTCAAGTCTCTCCCTTTTGCATTTCTTATTCTTTCCCCGTTTGATTTCTTCTTTTCTGTTTGATTGTTTGCTTCTCCTTATGTTTGTCTCTCCACATGCAAGACGAGGTTGCACGTGAGAGAGGGTGTTAGATAGCTTGACATACATTGTTGGGCCCATTTCCTAATAGCTTAGGCTTTTGGGAAAATTGGTAATTCAACATTAGACATGACTTTTTTCTTCAACTCCATAGAGTTTAAGGCTATCTCAACGTGTTCCATAGATATAGATTCTTTGTCGAACATCATTATATCAACAAAGTTCTCATACGAAGGCGGTAAGGAACACATCAAAATAATGGCTTGATCTTCATCACCAACGTTTAGATCAATATTTCTCAAATCCATAATCGCTTTATTAAATGCATCAAGGTGGTTTGGTATAGACATAATGTTATGTATTAGGAATATTTCTTATTTCATCCTTTTGTATAATTAGTATCTTTATTTATGCCTTAGAGTGCTCCTGTAATTATGCGAATGAGTTAATATAAAAGGGGATGAGATATCACTCATACCTCAATCTTTTTCTTCTCAAAATAACATGGTATCAGAGCTACTCTGAAACCCTAGACAAATAGGATCATTTCATCAGCTGCAGCCTCCTACGCATCCCAGCCTCACCACCACAGCACCAGTAGCAGCCTCTATGGTTCCGACTCCACCTGTCATCGTCAGATAGGCTGTCGGGCATTCTAGCCGAAGCATCCTAGGGCTTCGACAACACCCTAGGGCTCGTCGGGGCCTTCGTTTCTCAGCCCAGGTCTGTCGATAGGTTGGAGGCCAGTCGTGGGTGTCTTTCTTTCCTTCTCCGACTGCCGATAGACGCTAAAGAGTCGTCAGTTGCTTGTTTCTCTCTCTCTCTCTCTCTTAAGTCTCGGTTGATGTGAACACTTTATGCTCTCTCTCTCTGATCATGTAATTTTTTTTTTTTTGTACCCTATATCTATTTTTCTGCTTAAAAACAAAAATAAAAAATGCACTCTTAAATTCTTTTTTGGTTTTGATTGCTGTGTTCTCCCCTCTTCCAGGTTTGTGATTAGACCAGTGTTTGTTTGTGAGGGTTCCTTCGTAGAGTATTCATGGTAGAATTGACTAGTGAGTCTACTACTTCGCAGCCTACTACTCCTGGCGCGAGTCCTGTTTTGCCTCCTACTATGCCTGATTCTCTCCACTCTGGCCAGAAAATCACCACCTCTCTCTTTAATGGTTAGAATTATTTAGCTTGGTCGTAGAGTTTGACTATTTTTCTGAAGAGCAAAGAAAAGATGGGATATGTTGATGGCCATGTTCAGCCCCCCAGTACCACCAATCCGAGTTATGATCAGTGGGAGATTACCAATTCTCTTATCATAGACTAGCTAATACATTCCATGGTTTCGGAGATTGGTGAAGGATACTTGTTTATGGACACAGAACAGGATATTTGGGAGGCTGAGGCCATTACGTATTCTCGGAAAGACAATTTTTCACAGACTTTTGAGTTACGCCGCTCCATTGACCGGTTTGTCCAGGAGGAGATGACTATCCTCCAATATTTTACTTTTCTTAGCAATGGGTGGAAGCGACTTGATCATCTTCAGGACTACAAGCCTGTCTGTCCCACTGATTCTGCTGATTACCGGAAATTTGTTGAACAAGTGCGGGTCTTCAAGTTTTTGGAAGGTCTGAATGTGGAGTTTGATCTTGTTCGGAGTCGTGTGCTTGGTATGGATGTGCTTCCTTCTCTCTAAGAAGTGTTTGCCTGTGCCGAATGAGGAGAGTTGTTGTTCTGCTATGCTTCCAGCTACCTCTTCTGACTGCTATGCCCTGGTTTCTACACCCTCTAGAGATGGGAATCGTGGTTCCCGTACTCCTGAGAAGGATACCTTCTTTTGCGACTATTGTCGTTGCCCTCGCCACACCTGTGAGATTTGTTAGAAGTTGCAAGGGCCTCCATTTGGGGGTCGTGGCGATCGTTCTGGTTCTCGTGGGGGTCGCTCCGATCAGTCTAGAGGCCGCGGGCCCAATGCCCGAGCCCATCATTGATTAATATTCTGTCTATTACAAATGGTTCCTTATATAGATGTAGGTGTAGTGGATGGTGGTAGTGGTGTAGTGTGTTAGGTTTAGTGCCAAAAAATGTGTAACATTATCACAAAAATGTTCATTTACAATTGTCGTAACTCTACTAAAAAAAAAATTATCATAAAAATACGTAATATAAGATGCGTACACTTTTTGAGGTTTGTGTACCATAGCGTTCCCCTTAATACTACTATAGCATATACACAATACCACAAAATGTGTATTGCATGCACCGGATTATTTATTTTTGTTATAAATGTTACATATTTTTTTTATAAGACTTATGACAATTTGTGTTTGAGAAATGAAGTTACGCATTTTTGTGATAATGTTACGTACTTTATGATATTGTTACACATTTTGTGAAAAGAAAATGTTTGAATAAAAAAATGCATAACATTATCATAAAATACATAACACTATCACAAAATGTGCAACTTCATTTCTCAATCATTAAGGCATTTGATGAACTTGGTGATGTGAATATTCACATTAAATAAATTTGATAATAATGCACGGTTCACCCTATTATCATTAGGGGTATTTTGGTAATTATGTTTTCCATAGGATTTGTTGGAATATAAAAAAATAGTTAGACTAATGAGTGAGTGAAAAATGATTTTTGAATAAACACCATCTTGTTTGGTTTCAATTTGTTGAATTCAGTTTTCAAAAAATTGAAATTTTTTATTTTTCATGTTTTTTTTTATTTTCACTGAATTTTTTTACTATTCTAAGTAATTTTTTAATTTTTGGATACATCTAGCATATAAATACACTTAAAAAGTATAATATTTGTGATTTTTTTTTTAAAAGTATAATTCTTTTTTAAAAAATTCACTAAATACCAATAATACAAAAAAAAAAATTCAGTGTATTTTTATATTATTGTGCATTATTGATTTTGTAAAATATTTTTTTTATAAATATTTTAATTTTTTGATATATCTAAGTAAGGTACATCTAAAAACTTAAAAAAAATATTTAAAATTTAAAAAACATTTATTAAAAATATGAAAAATAAAATAAACTCAATTTTTTTAAAAATAAATTCAAAAAATTTAAACCAAACTAGGTGATTATTTATTAGCTTTCAATAATAGTGAGAATCATTGTTTGGTGGAGTTTTGGAAATGTGATTCCACACCTTGGTTTGAATGTTGTGTTTGGTTAGAATTTTTAAAAATTGATTTCACACCCACTTGTGTTTGGTTAGAATTTTCAAAAATTGATTTTACACCCACTTTTGAAAATACGTCTACTCGGTCATCCTCCCGCACGTCTAGCTGGTTGACTGGAATAGTGTTTGTTTGTTTGTTTGGGGGTTTTTTTTTTTTTTTTTTTTTTTTAAATAAAATAAATAAATAAATAAAATAAAATAAAAGAAAGAAAGTTGAGTGGAATGGGAACAATCCCATGTGATTTCAAACTGCCAAAAAGAAAGAGAGAGAGAGAGTGGGTTAAGTAAAAAATATGTTTTCATCATGAAAAGAGGGTGGGTGATATTATAATATTATATAAATATTATATGAAAATAAAAGCTTCAGATCTAGATCTGTTGTTCGACCTGGTTCTCTCCTGGGTTACCGACCATATTAATCAAATTCAACTAGGGTTCGGAAAAACAAAACACATGCAGCGAAAGAGACTATCAGAAATTCATGGCTTCAAGGTACTGAATAGTCGAATGTACCTAGGTTTTCATTTTGTCACTGCAAGAAGAACCCTAACCGAACGGGTGGAAGAAGAAGATGATCCTGTATATGCAGATGTGCCGAAGCCTTGTAGGACGAAATCCGAGAGGAAACCGTACCCGACGCCCATGAAAGTTTTGATCCAGAACTTCGTGGGTACTTGGAAGAG